ACTTCAAAAGATAATGCTAAATAACAGTTTTCAATTGAGAAGTTTTTAAAATATTAGCAATCCTTCAGACAAATTGTTACGGAAAGCACAAGCGAAAAAAGAGAACTATTTTTAGTTCCGGGTATAAAAGATATTCTAGATGTTGGCATTTTTGTCCACAGCATTACCTTGGTACAATCAGACGAGGTAATTAATTCTTCCACTTGCTTTAAAATTTTATTTTTTTTATCAATTGAAAATGAAATAATTATGTAGGTGTTTATGTCATTCTAATCGCCATTTAAGGACCTATCAAAATTCATTAAAATAATTACGTTGCAATTTAAAAAAAATAGCTATGTGTCATATTTGCAGTGTACTAAATCAAGCGTACCTGTTCAAGCTATAAACAATAGCATTTGGAATGTCAAAATCTCTTGCTGACGTTTACCTGGGACAGTTGTATTTTTGAAAAAACTGATGAAAACATGAAACTAGTCATTCGTCCAATGGACCCCATTAGAATATTTTCTTAGCTTTTGTTCGGCAAGTAAAGATAGATATACTCGTACCATCAAAATGTGATGATGTAATCTGGAATTTTTTGTGTGAAAATATGGATGCCTATGGTAAAAAGTCAAGGCGGATTCATGAACCACAAGTACAAGATTATAAATACTAATTTAATAAAAAAGACAGATAGACGGAAACGCGAGGTCTACGTTTTCGTGCTCTAGAAGTCCTGAAACATCGGGAAAACCTGAAACTAGTCATTCGTTGGATAGACCTAACTTACCTAAATCAGAAGAAGAACTTAAAAATTTAAAAAGATAAAAAAAGCTACATCAACAGTAGAACAAACTCAACATACACCAACCATCAAATACAAGAAAAAGTCATTTAATGTCAACTTTAAAATCCTTCACACTGCGGATAAAAGTACAAAATTAAATGCTCTTGAATATCTTGAGAATAATACATCGTTATTTGTATAACGGAAATGTTGTTTTAAATGTTAGATATTTACATTTGTTATCTCACCTTAAAGTTTAATAAAATAATAACAAAATAAGTTACTTTAGAACCGAAATTGCATTACAATGCTTATTTACGAATGTGTGATGGAGTGCCAACAAGTACACGCCCAATCAATTCAAATTACAAAATATAAATGAAATAAGAATGAAATTAATAATGTTCTAGAAGGATTCTTAGAGCGAGTATCTTCCAGTATTCATTATCTTCTTAAATTTTTTACTTTTCGAGAATCCATTTGGCGAATGGCTAATTTAATGTTTCCTGTTTCCATAGTCCCGGTGAAGTTTGTTGTTGATTTTATCAGACAGACAAGACACTTTGGACTTGTTGTTTTGAAATTTTGGGTGTATTTTAGGAATATTTTGTATATGGTAGAACGAATCCTGCTTAAATCTTATGAAATATATAAATTTTTTACAATTTAACTTCAATACTACAAAACCGAGTCCTCTGAAGTCTTAAGCATTTTAAACAAATTGAAAGCATTTTAAATCGTGTCAATAAAAAATGATCTGTTTATCTCCTCCAAAAGATTGATGATGTCATTTCAAAATTTTGCTGGATAAATTCTGTCTACAATGTGCATAATATTATCCCTCAACACTTGTGCTGTTTGCTTATTGTATCAGTGTTTCAAAAAAAAAAAAAAATGAACATCTTATTAAACAAATCAAAAGAGGCTTATCTTATTTTTCTTATTCTGGGATTAGTTACTAAGTACAAAATTGAATATTTGTCCCTAGTAAAAAGTTGGTAAGGTTATCACAAAATTCTATCACGTAAATATTACTTGAAACATATGCATGTTTGTTTTTCTGTAGCTTAATTTTTCCGTTTTTTCATTTGAACTTATGAGGTTATCATAAAAAAAATAAAATGCGCGGGTTAAAATTCTAGAATTTATCAGAATAACTCTACGCGTGTTTTACAATGTTATTTATAAATAATTTAATTAATGCTTGTTTAAATGAAATCTGATTATAGAGGACGAGTTTTCACTGAAACGGGAGTCTATTATGTTAAAATTGTATGTATCATTGTGAAGCGCGAGCTCAAATTCAGGGGATTATATCCATAGGTAGGCGATAATAACACGGTATGCAATCAAGTGCAGCAAAATCGGCTACTGTAATTTCAGCTGCCGGAATTTTTAAAAATAGTTAAATATTTTTTGAAAAAATACTGTAAAGTCTAAAGAGAAGCGTGAAATTTTAAAATTGGCAACCACCAGTAGAAAAAATTCGCCACTCGCCGGATGGCGCCTAATTATTTGCAAAGTAAAAAAAAGTAGGTAACAAGATTTTTATAACCCAGCATAATACCTCTGCCATTAAAATATTTATCTGAAGGTTCTGCGATTGAAAACTTTGCAGAAGTTTGCATAGTTTCAACACCGGTCTGACTGAAATTCCTTTACCTGGTCAACAGATCGTAGAACAAGCAATATGCTCTAAACACGGAACTTGAAGGGATTTTATCTATTCTTTAGCGGTCACATTGAAATTGTAGTTGTTAAAAGTTCTGACATCGTGTAGCACATAAAAATATCTAAGTTAGATTGGCCAACCATTAGACATATTTTGGTAATGCAGATACCTTTAATTACTAATAAGTGCATAAATAAGCAAATATCTTAGATTTACTTTAATCACTGTAAGACTGATTGTCATATTTATTGTAAAATTTTATTAATATTTCTGATTTTAATGTATCAGTATAATTTTGCGAACTTTAAATCTCTAATTCCCTTAGATATTTTCAGGGCTTAAAACGTGCATCCAAATAATCTGACACGAAGAGCAATACCATCCCCGAGCACATTTGTCAGCTGATATGTTATCCGACCATCCAGAGGGCAACATATCATATCCTTTCGTTCGACACCTGCTACCAAAATCAGTTATTTTTCAAAATTGACACAGGCGGATATCCATTGTTACACGGAGAACAAAAGCTTTAAAAATTGACGCGTCTGAAACGCTGAGGGATCTATTTTCCATCAACAGCTTCATTGAGATTTTCATCGATAAGTATTTCGCTTTATAGCAGCAAGTGATGGGTCATGATGACACTCCATTACTGAAAATTACATATATTACAATACAGTTTTACTCTGAAATCCGATATAAAATTTGCTAGGAATTTACTCTGGAGGTTTAGTGCTTACTTTAGTTTCAGTGTTGCAGGTAAACGAGTAGACAATTTTTCCACTAGTGGTTGTAATTAAAAGTTTCTACTTTAAGAGTTGTTGCAGTTTTGTTGGATTTCGTGTTTACAGGAAAAGAAATAAAACAAAATAATCATCTAGTCTGAATTTATTTGGACTAAAATTCCATATTCTCTCAGCACAATCAATACGTGTTTAAGCGTATTTTTCAGTGTAGAGTTATTTAGGGTAATTTTGTGTATTTTCACTTTAATTTACACACACTGTTGTATGAATCTCGGCAAAATGAAATGAGTCGTTTTTAAAATAATAGAAAATAGCTGGATTCCGAGAACCTATTCATGCAGTTGCTGTTTTTGGACATCCTTTGTTGGAAGTCGTAAAAATTAAAACTATAGTCTACACATATAGTGTGTTATCAAAAAAGACTCATGAAATTTTTGTGAACAAACAAACAATAGTAGCTGTGTTTTTAATATTCAAACATTTTATGATATGACCTGGTGTCAAAAAATCTTTAATCTATTGAGCACCTCGGAATTCACCGAAAATACCCTTCACTTAACATCCAACTTTATAAAAATGGTACTTTTTCTATCCGAACTGCTAACAGTTTATCAAGTGGAAAGGCTGCAACATGGATTCCTCAGGGATCAGTTCTTAATATAACCCTTTTCTTGATTGCTATAAATGACATTCTGACTGACGTCGTCCATCCAGTGACAGAGAGTCTCTTTGCGCATGATTTAGTGGTCCATGCATTGCTTACTCCAAAGGGAAATTCATTGATTGGAGAGTGGGTTCCACAAATAAGTATATGTGCACATATGCGTAAATATGCGTACGCCACATTTTTCTTAATAATTTTTGTGATGACGTCATTAGCTTTCTAGAGGGGGTGAACAAAAATATTGCAATGAATGTTCTATCTATATACGTCAACAGGTAAACTGCGAGACTACTTTTTAAACTACTTTTTAAACATTAAACGAGTTGTAGCAGAGTTCAAATGAATGTGCATCGCGGAGGGCCTTGACAAGTTGGAGTATACGTTGGTATGAAAAGAAATACCCCTTCTCGTCTGTCAAATTTAGGGTTGGTACACCTTGCTGTCGTTTTGAAAGAGCTTTAACATTTGACTATTTGTCACATAACATCGTATTGGTACTTAACTTTAACGCAAAGTGTTTCAGACTAACTGTCAAAATCATATAGTCATCTTTAGAGTCTAATGAATTATTTGGTAACTATATTAAAATGCGTTCACACGTTTAAATGATGCAGATTTATCTGGAAAGCATTATATGCATATACAAATCGAGTGCTGTATCGTTAAAATATTATTCTATTAAAAAAAAGTAGTCATTTTCGGAAAAACGAAGGGCAATATAATGCTATTGGATTATGTTACAGTTAAAAAAAATTCTAATTGAGAATTATTCATGAAATACAAATTAGTGTAATTGCGGCAATGCATGGTTACTTAATTAATAAGCTATTACTCTTACCTAGTGCATTAATATATCTACTGCAAATGGATTAGCGATGCTAGAGCATTCTGTTTAGGAATAATAAATTACAGTTTTAATAATTGACAAAATGCGAGAAATACGTACATATGAGAGTGGTTTCATTAAAAAGGAAATATAGCGGGCGGAGAGATTTCGGTAAATAAAACCCTTTAATAAATAGCTCGGTGGACGACGAGCTGTGCTCAAAAAATACGTTATTTGTTCATAAAAGAAATAAAATGCAAGTAAATACCACTGACCAGTTTCATCAGAGTCGTAATTTAAATGTGTATAAGCTAACTTACATTTGACGTCGACTTGAACCCTAATTGGTTGAGATTCTCCTGCCTTATTCCGGGCTTGACACGTATACAAGCCTGAATGTTGTCTAATGGCAGGGCTAAATTGCAGCAGTTCTTGCAGACTTACTGGCTGATTTTGACCTTCTCTTCTCCATACAACAGCGGCCTTTGGATTCGCATGGACGACGCATTTGATAGCTACGGCATCTTTTAGGTCTTCTATGTCAGTCTTCGGTATTCCCTCAAGTCTTGTTTCTGGAACATCTGCAACAAGTCGACATCTTTCAAACTTCTGAAGTAACTAAACGCACGTTCGGACAAGGTGCTTTATCGACGAATTCTCGATATTAAGTTTGCTCGGAAGTTTGCTTTTTAGTTTCGTCAAAAACGTTGGATTTTCTTGTCGGTCTCTCGCCGGAAGTAAGAAAGTTTTACGTAAGTATTTATCGTTACTGTGCGGAGCTTAAATTAAATTTATGTCAGAACAAATAAATTATATTGTCCTAAAGTAAAGTGGCTTTGTTTTTGTTTTTTATCTTGATGTGTTATTTACTACTTTTATCTATCAGGCTAAATCCTCACAGGTGTGATTACTAACATAAAATGTTAATTCAAAATGACTAATTTTCAAATCTATTTTCAAAACCAGTCGTCTTACGTTGCCTAATCAAAAGGTCTAGCTGTTCAATACTTCATGATTAAAGAAACACAAATCACAATTGATTGTTAAACTTTCTGCTGTGTTTTGAGTAATCGCACAAATAAACCACTAACAAATCTGCCCTGAATTATTCCCCCGATCTTCCCAGCGCTTTCAGAATGCAAATTAACAACCAGGGCGTCCTTGCGCATTTTATTTCCGCTGATTGGTAGATTTTTTGTGAGAAACAAAACTGAGGCGTTTGTCTGTTTTTTCACCATTACTACTGTTGATTGTTTTATTGCGTTTGTGTTTTGGAATGTGTTTAGGTGTGGGTTTTTATTTATTACGACGATTTCAGTACAGGGCAAAATTTATTCCATATTCCTGAAAACTTATGACCTTATGAGTGTACAATTCCATGATTAATTGGGAATTTATATGTGGTGAGGCAACGTCGAGTGTCGTATTTATAGAACTGAAATATTTATAAAAACTAACAATAATAAATATTTACGAAAACGAAAATAAAATCTTACCTGGTTGTTTTCGTATTGTACCGAAAGAAAAAAAATAACATACTTTATTAGCAGTTTGTATATTATCACACAATTTATTAAAAAACTTGCAGTGTATAAAACAAACAGCACGTGTGGTTGTGAATCTTTCTACAAAAAGATCGTAAACGTTTGCATCACTTATATTTTTTATAGTACATCGTGACATATTTATAAAACAGAAAAAGAATATGAAATCCTCTATAAGTGCATATGCTTGTGCCGTATATGTTTTCTCGTATATTTTAATAATCGTTAAGGTGTTCTCAGAGTTAATATCCTAGTGCCAGTAAACTACAAGTGTATAAAACATAAAATCCATTGTCCATTGCGGAATCATCTAAATTTTAAATAACGTTAAAATGTTGTAGTTAGATTTCTGAATATTTGATAGACTTTTAGTTCAGAGTGGCGTCCCGATTTGAAAATTTAAATTTCGCGCCGAGAAAAAACAACGCCACGAAACCACATTTGAAAAACAAGAAAGTCGTTCAGTAATGTGGACCACCATGCTTGTTTGGCGGAGTGCCACCCCTATGGGTTTTTAGTTTTAGGGAGTTCTGTAAGACAATGCAGTTAGTTTATACAAGAGTTTCTTGACCGGACTTCTTGTTTTGGTGGTGTGAGTGTGAACACGTGTAAAAAATGGTACTTGGAACTTTGTAATTTCACCAATTTTTAAACAAAATGAAATCGCATTAGACCAACGTAATTATCCAAAGTGATTTTCTAATCCTAAATTTTGTGGAACGAATTCGCCAACATATGCAATTTTTATTTTATTGTTTCTAAATTCATACTCCATGCTAAGATTTTTAATGGTGCATGGTTTTAATACAATTTAACAAGAATAATGTACATTTTCACATAAAACACTTTAGTAACTATATCTAAACTTCTCACTCGAGATTTAAAATAGTTATCATAAACATTGATTAATTTTGAAGGAAAGGACTTGAAAGTTATTTTCTGCTTTGTTTTTTGTGATTTTGGAATTAATTTTGATTTAATCTTAACTGGAATTAATGCATAGTTTGACATAACGTAAATTCTTTGTTGTTTGAAATTCTTACCAAAGTGTGGCATAATTAAATTTTGTTTGTTTTTGTTTCCTTCCTTGTAATTATAATCCACACGAGATCGCGTGACGAAAGCAGAGTGACGGGTTCGTACCCAAAGTAGAGTTTTTATCGTTGTCACTCATGTTCATGTGAATGTTTATCCGCAATACCGGATTTTCGCGGACGTGAATCAGGTCGTCTAGCTGGCTTTCTCACTTGCAAGGATGAACGTAAACCCCAAGAATGCAAATCGGAATGGCACTTCGCGTATTACGCTGCCTAGAGTCCGCAACATTTAACTTTAACATGAGGGATACCACCAACAACAATTTAAATTCAAATTTGCCGCCACACCATGGTAATAACTGTTGTGTTACCATCCAGTCAATGACGTTATCTAGTTTGTTCTTTGTGTGTTTAAATCCGTAGTATTCAAATATTTTAATCGATTTGTAACATGGTTTTGGTTTCATTTTTGAAAGCTGGGAAGATTTTTTTGCAGCTTTCGTTTTGTTTAGATTATTATTATTTCTTACTAAACCTCGACTTTTTGGTTATTATTTTTGTTTAACTTTTTAATTCCTGTGTACCTAGGAGCTTATTATTGTCAGAAAAGTCCGTAAATCCTGTTTTAATTTTACTTTTTTTATTACCTATTTTACATTGCGTTTTATTAATAGCAAACTCAATCTAGTTTAGTATTTATTATCTCCGGTCGTAAAAAGTCGGGTAACAAATAAAAAGAAGACTTAAAAATAGAATATTTATTCTGTAATGCAGAATATATTTATTTGTAGACAACAGATAACTTCTACACGCAATGCCGTATTCGAAATAAAATACACGCAATAATCATAAATAACTATCATAATAAAACGATTTACTATAGAAAAATTCATCAAAGGCACCTTTATTTTACATTTAACAAGTAACCTCTCCAAACAAAGAACTCGTAGTCATAAAATGAGGCTAAAATATATTTCTGCGAATGACACGAGACGACATCCTGTTTTATTTTTGTGAAAAGGGATTAGAAAATTTAATATTTTGCGACAATATTTCGTAAACTATAACTCAACTTAGGCGTATAAAAAGTTTCGCCACGGTAGTTCCAAAGTAGACTTAGAGATGTTCTTATCACGTCAGGGAGGAAATCCTGGACACTTTTTGGCACACTTGTCGTTTAATTAAAACTTTTTAGTATCTACGTACAGTTTATTTAGTTAGTTGCCTCTGGTATTTAAAGCTTCATTTGGAATATAATACCCAGTCGTGTAACATAAATGCAAATTTTTCACTTGCTTCACAAGGGTCGAGGCTCAGCATTAAATTTTAAATAGACATGATATTCTCTCATCTTATTTGTTTCGCAAGGCAAAATAGAGTGAAATTACCTATTTTATAATTGTGCATACAACCTTGAATTCATTTCGCATCTATTTCTGGCAATTTAGAAATTGTTTACGAAAATAGTTGCAAATATAGTTATTAGTTTTAAACTTGGAAGACAAACATGCAAACATTTATTGTAGTAAAGTAATTAATGTTTACGCTTCCCTTTAACGCAGTAAATATGTTAATGAATATGTTCTGTTCTCTGGTTATTTATTAAGACCTTTGTTGTTTTCATGAAAAACAAAACCGGAATTAACATATTAATTTAAACATTTGGGTTGACCCACAAATCAACTGGCATAGCTAAATAATTTATTAAAAATGGTATACTTGTATATTATTGATTAAAATTTAAACCCTTTTAAATACGTAATACGACTGACATAAGTTGTTATTATATTTTGTCAACCATTGAGTGATTGAGTCTTTGAGACATTATGGTACTATTAAAAATGATTTTTCACATCTTCTTACAAAGTAGGCTTTAGAAACTTTTTGTAAAATTTGTAGCATGTTATTATTCCCGCAACGTTGAAGATTACAACAACGTACTTCAACAGAAGAGCAAAACATGATATATATATATGTAAATGTGTGCAACCATATATTTCAGAGCTCAGATTATTAGTCATTTACTTTTTGTTTTTATTAGTGCGTGCCCTTTTAGCATCAAACATAGATTGCATAAGGTCATTTTACCACAGTCAAAGTCCATAAAGCCAACATTTTTACACAAGCGTATGCTGCGTTCATTTATTGCAGATTTTTTATTTTGTCCTATTTTATGATGGAATCCAAATCTGTTGACTCGGGCGTGTAATCAGAAATTACGAAGCTCATGTTTACCTTTAAAAATTTCCACGTTATTTCCTGAAATTCTACTTCAAATAAGTGAATATTTGATGTAGGCAACAAAAAATCTTGCAATCTGTATTTGGTCCCAAATAAATGATTCAAAGGGGAGTTAAATAAGAAACGAGGTGAATAATACCCGTATTACCAGCATCAGTAGGACTGTGTAAAATTCAAATTGTGTCTTTACGGATACAATTTTAATGGTTAGAATCCCTCAAATCTCTTTAACAACCGTAATGTCGAATGCTCGCTGCCTTTGCGACTTTGCTTTTAAATTGCTAGTTAGTTGTACGACAGTTTTAAAACCATAATATAGAGTTTACGTTAGAATAAAAATTTCCTTGAAAGAACTCATTGTTGTCTTAATGTATGTTGGAGACCACAGATATTGATCGAGCAGACTTCAAATACCATGAATGAGCAAATATTCCTGCAAACTTTCCTAACATGTCTGTTTTAAGCACCGACTTTAACGCACTTTATTTCTAGCTTTGATCGAAATTATCGACAAAAATGAATGTCGAGATTTCCTCTTCCATCTTTAAAATTAAATTTATACTGATTTATCTGTATATCGGGAAATCGTTTTATCAATATCAACAAATTTAATATTGCACGAAGAAGTGGGATTTTATATGATGTCTGAAATTTATCGTAGGAGTTTACCGTAAAAGTTGCGAGGATGAAGATCATTTTATATCCCGGTCGTTGTTTTTTCGAAATGGGTTTACAGTGTCGTTGAGTGGGACAAAAACA